TCTTAAAAGAGGCACAAAGTGTTGTGTGCAACCAGAGCAGGAGAGATTATAGCTCCTGTGGGTAGATCCAGGTCTTAAATGGTAAGTAGTCCATGCACAGACAGGTACTGAGGATAAAGTGAGGCAACAGGCAATGTGTTAGATAAAGGATCATCTATGAATGTACTCATAACCAAGTGCTAGTTGTATTAAAAGTATAATTACACCTTATTTTATCTGGAGTTCAGTTTCCTTTAGCAACAGCCAGAAATAAGATTGGAAAGGTGAATTGAGGCATTTTCAGAGGATCTGGTATGTGGAACTGGGTATTTGTAATTCAACAAATATAATGGACCCCTGGTGTGGCACTGTAGGATCAGCACTGGACTACAAACCACAAGGTTGGCATTTCAAACCCATCAGCTGCTCCTTGCAAGCTGTGTACAGGGTAACTATGAATCAGAATGGATTTGATGACGCTCAGCAATAACCACAACAATGTGTGTAATTTAAAATACTTAAAATTCATCATCAATAAGAACATTTCAAGATCTGTTTTGAAGTATAATACTGTCTGTGTTAAGATAATATCCATACACTTAAAAAGGAAAAACAGTTAATCCCACTATTATTCAAATATACGCACCAACCACTAAAGCCAGTGATGATGAAGTTGAAGAAGTCTATCAGTTTCTTCCGTCTGAAACTGATGAAACATGCAATCAAGATGTATTGATAATTACTGGTGATTTGAATGCAAAGGTTGGAAACAAAGAGCAAGAATCAATCATTGGAAAATATTTCCTTGGTGAGAGAAACAATGCTGGAGGTCACATGATAGAATTTTGCAAGACCAATGACTTCTTCATTGCAAATACCTTTTGTAAACAACATTAAAAGCAACTAGACACATAGGCCTCACCAAATGAATTACACAGAAATGAAATTGACTACAACCGTGGAAAGAGGGTGGAAAAGCTCCATAATATCAGCCAAAATAAGACCAGGAGCAGACTGTGCAACAGAACATCTATTGCTCATATGCAAGTTCAGGCTGAAGTTGAAGAAAATTAAAGCAATTCATGAAAGCCAAAATATGACCTTGGATATATTCCACCTGAGTTTACAGATCATCTGAAGAACAGATTTTATGCATTAGACACTAATGACCAAAGACCAGAAGAGTTGGGGGATGACATCAAGAACATCCTACAAGAAGAAAGCAAAAGGTAGAAAAAGACCCAAATGGATGTCAGAAAAAACTCTGAAACTTCTTTGGTAGCTTGCTCCTGGTATGGCCATCAGATTGTCTCAGACTTTTGTAAGTGAATGTTAAGTTCAAGTTTCGTCCCACCACTTTTATTGGCTGGCAAATTCTGCTCTGGTGCTTTTGTGGGTGCACTGCTCTCTTGCTCCTGTCTTGGCATTGAAAGAACAACTGGTTACCTGGCGTCCCATACCTACTTTAAACTCAACTCTAACAAAGAGTATGTGTGAACTGAAGCCTCATTGCCTGACAGTCAAATCGCTGAGTATGTAGACAGGGAACCTACCAAAGGCCTCCTGATTATCCCATTCCTATTGTATGTATGTAGACAGGGAACCTACCAAAGAACTCCTGATTATCCCATTCCTGTTGTATGTATGTAGACAGGGAGCCCACCAAATGCCTCCTGATTATTCCATTCCTGTTGCTTACCATGAAGCTCTTATTGGGCTGGATGCAGAAATCTAAAACAGGGGTGTGTTTTTTGCACAGTAAATAAATATTTTGGAGGAAAGAAGAAGAAGAAGAATATGGAAGGAATACAGGCTGTCACTGTACCAAAAAGAAATGGTCTATGTTCAACTATTTCAAGAGGTAGCATATGTTCAAGAGCCAATGGTACAGAGGAAGAAGTCCAAGGTGCACTGTTGGCAAAGAACTAAGGCTACTGGAATTAATGGGATACAAATTGAAATCTTCCAACAAACTGTTATAGCACTGAAGGCACTCACTCATCTATAACAAGGTATTTGGAAGACAGTTACCTGGCCAACAGATTGGAAAAAATTCATATACTCCTTGGAAGCCAGGATGGTGAGACTTCATCTGTCAGAGGTGTGGCATTGCAGGATAATGCACTGCACCCCAAGGTCAGTTTGAACTTCAAGGTCTTTGGTTCAAACCCACCAGTCATACCTCCAAAACCCTATTCAGGGCCGCTATGAGTCGGAACCAGGTGGATGGCACTTAACAACAACTACAACATCAGGAGGGAGCAATCCCTAAAGAAGGGTATCGTGTTTGGTAAAGTGGAGGGTCAGAAAAAAAAAAAAAAAAAAGGAAGATCCCCAATGAAATGAATTGGCATGAGGCAGCAGCAGTGGGCTCAAGCTTAACAATGATTGTGAGGATGGCACAGGACCAGTTAGTGTTTTGCATAGACAATCATTTGAACAGACTTGTTGGCACTTAACAAGAGCAGCAACAAGTCTATAAGGATTTTATTTTTTTCCCATGAGTGTCTTATAACCCAAAACCAAATTCACTGCCATTGAGTCCATTCCAACACATAATAACTCAGTATAGGGTTTCTGATGAGGGACATCTTTTGGGGGAATAAACAGGCTTATCTTTTCCTGAAGAGTGGCTGGTTGGTTGTAACCACCAACCTTTCATTTAGCTGTCCAGCGTTTGCTGCTAAATCTCTGATAAATTTTAATCCATGAAAGACACTTTTTTTTTTTTTTTTACAGTTCTTCATATTTTTCATTATTATCCTTTTATTTCCATTGGTTCTTAATGATGTCACTAATTTCTTATTCAGGTTATTTGCATCTTCTCCTTCTTTTCTTTTGTTAGATTTGCCAGTGGTTTGTTAATTTCACTAGTGTGTTTATTGCTACAAATTGCCCTCTGAGCACTGCTTTAGCTCTATCCCAAAGATTTTGGTATATTATGTTGTCATCTGATTCAAGGATTTTTTTTTTTAACTTCTTTTTCTTAAATTCCCTCTATTACTTTGGGAGACCTGGTGTAGTGCTGCGGGTTAATGTGCTGGATTGCAAAGTCGATTTGAATCACAAGATTGGTAGTTCAAGTTCACCAGTTGCTCCTTAGAAACCTTACACAAGTCACTGTCACTATACAGGGTCAGAACCGACTTGACAATGCTTAACAACAACATTATTAAGTAGTTTTTTAAGCAGGGTTATTCGATTCCATGTTTGATTATTTTTCCTTATCCTTCCTAATATTGATTTCTAATTTTATAGTGTTGTCATCTGAGAGCATGTTTCATAACATTTCAGCATTTTAGAATGTACTGCGGCTTGCTTTGTGGCCTAACATATGGTCTCTTCTGGAGAATGTTCAATGTGCACTGGAAAAGGATGTATATTGTCTTTTTGTTGGATGGAATGTTCCATATATGAATAAGTGGTCAAGTTGGTTGAATGTTGTTTAGTTCTTATGTGGCTTTGTTGAGTTTCTTCCTAGTTTTGTTCTTGATCAAAAGTGGCATATTAAAATCTCCTGGTATTATTGTAGAGTTGTCAATTTCTCCATTTAATTCTGTTAGAATTTGATTTCTTTCATTGGGTACATAGGAATTTATTATGATTATTCAATTAACTCTTGTTCAATTAACCCTTTAATCATTATATAATGTCCTTCTTTGTCTCATGATGGTTTTGCTTTAAAGTCTATTTTATCAGATATTAATATCCTGCCCTTTTTTGATTTCCATTAGCTTGATATATTTTTCTAGCCTTTGATTTTGGTCTATTTTTGTCTTTGTGTATAAGCTATTTCTCTTGTAGACAGCATATTGGTGGGTCCTGTTTTCTTATCCAATCATCTCTCTGTCTCTTGACTGGTGTAATTAATCCATTTATATTCATAGTAATTATTGATACATTTTAATTCAATGCTGCCATTTTGCTGTGTGTGTGTTTGTGTGTGTGTGGTGGTGCTGGTTCTTTTGTTCTACACAATTTTCTATTGAGAGTTCATTTATTTGTGAGTTTTCTTGTTACTTTCTTCATTGATATTATTTACTAAATCTTTATAATCTTTCTCTTTTCATTTTGAGAAGAAAATTTATTAATTTTCTTTGGGGTTACCCTGTAATTTATTAATATCACCCCAAGTTTAAAACAGTCTGTTCTACCTTGGAATCTACTTGACTTCCTCTTCGTTTGAAAGTTCGGTAGCCATACTATTCCCTCTGTTTACTTTGTAATTGTCTTCATTAAAATTGACATTTTCATTCTTGTAGGTTTGGTTCACTTTGAATGCTTCTATATTTGGGTTGACTTCTGGGTATCATGTATGTTAATGTATGTATGTTATATTATGCATGTTGTCTTGCGTGTTAATCTCAGATTGTTGTCTGCTGTTGTTATTTCTCTGTCCAAAGAACCCCCTTCAGTATTTTTTTATAAAGTTGGTCTGGCTTTTAAAAAAATCCTTAAAGTTGTATTTACCTGGAAAAGTTCTAATTTCACCATAATATTTGAGGAGCAATTTTGCTGGGTATATAATTCTTAGTTGGCAAATTTTTCCTTAATTTTATATATGTCATTCCATTATCTTCTTGCCTGCATGATTTCTGCTGAGAAATCAGACCTTAGTCTTATTGGTTCTATTTTGTAGATAACTTCTCATTTTTCCCAAGCTGCTATCAGGATTCTTTCCTCGTCTTTGGTCTTGTAAAGATTGATTGTGATGTGCTTTGTTGATTTTCTTTTGGGATCTATCCTGCTTGCAGTTTGTTCAGTTTTTTTAATATGATGATTCTTGTTAAGAAAAGCTTAATCTTGATAAGACAACTTTAATAAGCTTGACTAAATATTTACAAAGCACATTGTGCTGAGTGAAACATTTTATGTGACGAATAGGTAATAGAAAATAGTATTGGATGACTAGTCTGTAATTGCCTCAAGGAAAGCACACAGTGACACAAGTTCATTTGGTTACTTCCTCAAACAGTCAACACAAGTCTGCAAAGAAACAAGTGGCATATTTGACCTTCACTATGAATAATAAACACTTATTTGAGATTGTGTTGCTGCTGCTGGCCTCTTCCATGATCTTCTCCTTAGAACTGAAATTGGTTCACTTCCAACAAAGAATGCACAGACAGAGTTTAAAGCTTTTGGATACATTGCAGAGCTCTTCAATTCAACAGTGTTTGAGATACAGGGAAAATTTCATGCTTCCCCAGAAGTCTATGAATCCTCACCAGTACAGTAAAGGACACACAGTGGCTATTCTCCATGAGATACTACAGCAGATCTTCAACCTCTTCAGGACAAATCTTTCTCCGGACAGTTGGGAGGAAAATCATGTGGAGAAATTCCTCATTGAACTTCATCAACAGCTGGAATATCTAGAGGCAGCAATGGGACTGGAAGCAGAACAGAATAGTGATGCCTTGGATACTGAGAACCTTAGACTGCAGATTAAAATGTACTTTAGAAGAATCCATAACTACCTGAAAAACCATAAATACAGCAGCTGCGCCTGGATTATCGTCCGAGTAGAAATTATACGGTGCTTGTTTTTTGTTCTCAGACTCACAGGAAAGCTGAGCAAATAAGGAATGGACCCTTGAATGAGGTGACACATGATTGAACTGCAAGTTTTAAAAGCATAGGGTGGGTGGAGGGTGATAGGAGTTCTCCAAACACTATTATCATTAACACTGTTTTTGTCATAGAGAGATAGTGTTGTTTATATGTTTATCTAAGATTATATATACTGTTGATAATTGTTTTATTTTATAGTAGCACATTATCTTTTCTATCCATTTAAAACTGTTTATGGACTGAAATTGATTCATTAATTGTTTCTTCAAATGGGTGCATTATCATAAAAATAAATCTAATGAGGTATGCCTCCAGTGTAATAAAACTTCCCTTAGCACCAACCATATAGTCTAGTCGTGTCCCTCTTTGCTAGATATTGGAAGAAATAATGAGAAATACTAGTAATAATTTGCATTGCAGGATCTGAAAATATCATTACACATTGGATATTTAGGTCACAATCAAAATATGAACAAAGTGCATTAACAATTAGTTTGCAAGGTAAAACAAACAAATATATAAAATGAGGTTCAACCTTACTCATAACAATAACAATACAAGAAAAATGAAATATGACATTTACAAACTATTATGTTGGTAAAAACCTGAAGCTCGACAAAAACATTCTTCCAGGGGCATTAGGGAGGAACAGTCTTAAATTTTACATGAGCGCTGAAAATTGGTACAATCACCATAGAGGCAATTTGGTGCTATCAATCAAAGTTACAGGTGCATATAGCCTTTGATTCATTAATTCTAGGTCTGGAAATGTATTTTGTAGAAATACTTGTACATGTGTGAAATGACTTATATACAAGGTTATTCATTACAACATTGTTTGTTTATATTTTCAAAAGCCAAGAAACCACCCAAATTCTAACTAGAGAACAGTTTCCATTATATAGCCACACAAAAGAAAGTTGGAGAAAAGAATGAGGAAGCTCTACCAGTACTGGATAAAAGTAAAAATAGGCTAGACTGGAATTAACAAGATGTACGTTGTTGTTGTTCATTGCCACTGAGTCAGTTCTGACAGATGTTGTTATTTTAAAGTTCCATCAAGTCTATTGCAACTCATAGCGACCCTCTATAGGGTTTCCAAGGGGCAGCTGGTGGGTTTGAATTGCCAACCATGTGGTTACCAGTCCAGTGCTTTGGGTAAAAATATAAAGTAAGATTTTTATTTGCACTTGCTTATATTTGAATGAATAAACAACGTATGAGACATAATGACAGTGCTTGCCTGCATGAATACCGGGGCAGGAGAGAAGAGAATAGAGACAATGATTAGGGATGAGGACAGAGTTTAAAAGGTTTTCCAGCATATTTTTACATATTAATGTTGAATCATGTGAATATTATAAATTATAATGATAAATTCACATGTCAAAATATACAGTTTGTCAACAAGTCAAATCTATACAGGAGGGAGTCCTGTCAGTGAAATAAAGTGTTAGATGAGGTTTTTGAGGGAACAGGAACTGAGCTGATTGTAATAGGTTGTCTTGGTTGGAGGGAGATAAGTGAAAGAGCAGTGTACTGTCAGGGGAGAGGGTACCTGGTACTGAAAGGTGCTGGCACCAAGGGAATTTCAGCCACGAGCTTTCAGAAACCACAGTGGAACAACTGTGGGCCTGAGAAACTGAAGTTCCTAAGGCTTAGTGATTCCCCCAAATTGGATTGGTATTAGCAGCAGTGCCAAGGTCCCTAAACCCAGTGCTAATTCATTATAATTTATGTCCTATGGTTTTTCAGGTTCATTCTGTATTTATAGATTAAAGTCATTATTAAAGGTAGAAATTTGCTGAGGAGCAAAACAGATTTCAGTTAATTTAATTAGTGTATCTATCAATAAATATATCAACTGCTTCCAGATTTGATTTGAAAGGGAAAAGTAGACACCAAACAGGATCCTGAAAGTGAGACAGAGTTACATGCAATAGTGGAAGGGGGCATGGAAGCAGAGGCAGAGACTGGGCTGTTAGGAGAAATTTTTTGCCAACTTTACAACAGAACCCCAGGGCTGACCTGTTTATATTCAAGTTCACAAGGAAACAGTGAAGTAGAAGGAGGAGAAAGATTTGCCTTGCTTTACTGAAAATAAGGGTCACTCTTCTTTCCAGGGTCCACAAAAGATTATTTTGTCTGTTCTTCCTTATACCAGCAAATCCTCAGAACAGAATACTTCGTTTAACCTATTTTTAAATTATAAAATCAACCTTGCTAGATAGTTTCTGTTTTATCCCCTTGTCTTAGGTAAGGACAACAGGACTCTGAATGTGAAGTAGGTTATTCAGCTCAAAGCGATGCAGTGATTATTCCCTACGGATTAGTCCTCAGTTTTCTTCTCATTTGATACATTCTCTGAAGATAACCTTATACGCCCATGACCTCAACTACTACAAATGTAAAAATAGCTCCCATATTTATGCAATAATACAAACTTGACCCATGAACTTCACACTCTCATATCAAATCCAATAGCACAGCATACAGGTCTTCCATCTTGGGTCACAGAAACCCCAAGGTCTACATGCTACTTCCTTTGACACATATCTGTTCTCTTCCTTACATGTATTAATAACTTGCTTTTCTTTTTATTTAAGTTTTAACCTTCACAGAAAACCTTTGTAGTCTGAAGTGTCTGTATCTATCTACCTCCAAGAACACAACTGTTTATTGTGTCACAGACCACATGGCTCTGTAAAGGAGTATTCTCTTTCTCCCAAATAAAGTACAACCTACTTCTCTGGTACTGTAGTGGTTACAAATTGGACTGTGAACTTTAAGGTCAGCTTTTTGAAACTACCAGCTGTTCCATGGGAAAAAAGATGAGGCTTTCTGCTCCTGTAAAGATTTACAGCTTCAGAAACCCTGTACAGAGTCACTATGAGTTGGGACCAACTCCACAGCACACCATCACCACCACCACTTCATGGTAGGGAAATGACTTTTTAACCTCTCTGCATAGAACAGTCTTCAATACATAGCAAAAACAATCTAACTCGTGAATAAATGAAAAATTTAAATAAGGCATTAGAGGAAATAAAGGATAAATCAATACCATATGATATTGGGCATGTCACCATATGAAATAATTATGTGGCAAGTTCATAGATATATAACAGCAATCTCTCTCTAGAGAAGAGAAAGTCTTGTTTGCATATGTCTGATAAAAGATGAAAATTTTATTTTTGTCCCTCAGATTCTCAATTATTCTCCAATGAACCATTTGAATCAACTACTTCTTAGAATCAAAAACTAAGTATATATCTTACTGTTAATAATATATGGTATATATATGTGTCACTGCATGTTAACGTGCTGGACTGCAAGGTGGGTTTCAACCACAAGGTTGGTGGTTCAAGCTAAACTATAGTTCATAGGAAACCCTATACAGGATCGATATGTGTTTACTAGCACCATAAAATATGCATATGAAATATAGGCCAGAAGTCCAGGTGGAGGTCTTTCTTTTACCTAATTGCTCTGGTTGTCCTGTTGTTACTAAGTGCCATCGAGTACTGTCCGGTCTTGCTCCATCCTAAAAATTGTTGTTGTGCTTGAATCCATTGCTGCAGTCACTGTGCCTATGCATCTTGTGTTAGGTCTTCCTTATTTTTGCTGACCATTCACTTTATCAAGCACAATGTCCTACTCTAGGAACTGGCCCCTCCTGATAATATGTCCAAAGTATGAGAGATGAAGTCTGGCCATCTGGCTTCCAAGGAGCATTCTGTCTCTACTTCTTCCAATACAGATTGGTTTGTTCTTTTGGCAGTGTATGGCACTTTAAATATTCTTCTCCAACACCAGAACTCAAATGCATCAATTCTTCTACAGTCTTCCTTTTTCACTGTGCAACTTTCACATATATATGAGCTTATTGAAAATGCCATGGTTTGTGTGAGGTGCACCTTAGTCCTCAAACTGACTCTTTGCTCTTGAAGTCTTTCCCGAGGTCTTGTGCAGCAGATATGCCTAGTGCAATATGTCATTTGATTTCTTGATTGCTGCTTCCATGAGTATTTATGGTTGATCTGAGCAAAATGAAATCTTTGACAACTTCAATATTTTCTCCATTTATCTTGATGCTATTTATTGGTCCAGTAGTGAGGATTTTTGCTTTCTTTACATTGAGATACAACCCATACTGAAGGCTATGGCCTTTGAACTTCATCAGTAAGTATTTTAAGTTCTCTTTGCTTTCAGCAAGCAAGGTTAATGAGTTTGCCCCAAATCTTGTTACTATGTTCTTCTTCAGCTAATCCTAGACAATCCTTTTCTGACTCACTCTTCATGGCAACCTGGCCAAGTCTTCAACTGACAAGAAATATAGAAACCACTAACTTGAGTGACCACCATTCTTCTGTCGGTTTGTCATACTGTAGTGGCTTGTGTGTTGCTGTAATGCTGGAAACTATGCTGCTAGTATTTTAAATACCCATGGTGGACAGGTTTCATCTGAGTTTCCAGCCTAAAACAACTAGGAAGGAGGAAAGCAGGACTACTTCTGAATGTTTAGCCACTGAAAACCTTATGAAGAGCAGTGGAACACTGTCAGGTAACAACAGAACATTGAATATTGAAACATGAAGAATAGCACCAGAATATCTTCAGATAAAGTGCCAGAAGATAAGCACTGCAGATTGGAAGGCACTCAAAATACGCTGGGGAAAAAGGCGTCTCCTCAAAGTAGAGTTGTCCTTGATGACACAAATGGAGTAAAACCTTCAGGGCCTTCAATTGCTGATAGGGCACAACTCAAAATGAGGAGAAATAGCTGTAAACATCCATTAATAATCAAAACATGGTATGCATGAAGTATGAATCTAAGAAAATTGAAAGTTGTAAAAAATAAAATGAAACACATAAAAATAGAGGAGTGGTGCTGTGGGCTAATGCATCAGACTGCAAAGTCATTTGAACTGCAAGGTCGGTGGTTCTAGCTCACCAGCTGCTCCTTGGAAACCCTATACAGGGTCTCTATGGGTCAGAATCGACTTGATGGCACTTAACAACAACA